TGTGGCCTGGTGAAATTAAACCAGCGCAGGACACAACAATGTCTTTTGGGTGTTTTATTCTGAATATAAATAATTGTGGTTTTCTCCAAACAAAATATAAAAGGAACAAAACAATGAATCAAACAACAGTCAACCCTGTCTCTCTCTCATTCGGTGCGGGACGTTTACAACTGCGCCCTTGCCTTGAAGTACAACAAAAAAATGCTCTTCCGTTGAAATAAGGAATACAGAAAATACAGAAATAACTGTGATGGCACATGTACAGAAAGTCCGTCTGCAGTAATCGATGCACGACACACTCCGCAAATCCCACGGGTCACACGCTGGAACTAAAATCTTCAACAACCGGTACAAAACTTCCGCTGAAATACCGCTTCAGTCAGATGAACACACATGGCTTTTTTTGTTTCCCAGAATCCACTGGATTGATACCCAGCATCCTCTACGTTCCCAGGGTTACTTCTCTAAAAGCGGTAGCACCCCTTTTTCCATATCCAAGTCTAACAGGTGCATTTCCACCCGGCTACATATGTATATATACTAACAGTAGGTGGCAGTATAACAGGTTACAGCGAGGAGGAGCAGGAAATAAAGAAAGGAGGAGGCATTAAACTGCAACGTAGCCTACGTCTGAGTCCTTACAGCACAGATACAAGAAAACAATACACTTCCCTGTGGAAACGGCCACAGAACAATATGATTGGCTAAGATCTCCGTTCACTGTAGACAGGGTAAATCACCGTCTGACATGGAGGACACGCTCAATGAACTATCTTGGACTTTAAAGACCGCATTTGATTCCAAGACGCTGGCTGAGTTTTGGATTTCAGTCGAGAGGGAATACCCGCAGCTTTCCAGGGCCGCTATGGATATACTGATGCCATTTGGTTCGACCTATTTATGTGAAAAGACTTTCTCGGCACCGACTTACATAAAGAATAAATATAGATCGCGACTTAACGTGGAGGATGATCTCCGAGTTGCCATCTCCAAAACAAAACCCAGATCCGCTTTGCTCCATGCACATTGCCCATCCATCACATTAGGCGACTTTTTGCGCAAGCCGTGCATTATGCATGCACACATCACATTATGTTCGTGTTTTGTCCTGCTCTTACATATTGTATTCACTTGTTAAATTTGTTTTTACACTGACATTCATTTTAATATTGTATTAAACCACTTTATTACTAAAATGAACTTTTGGTTGTTAGGTAGTGGTCGGTTTGTTGTTATACCTGCTTGATCAATCAACCTGCGCGTCTGTGCGTTGTTCTGTGTGCAGCATGTTGCATGTGGGGTGAGTGGGTCGCGGGTCTTTTGCAACGATATTTTGTGGGTCGCGGGCTGAAAACTTTGGGAAACCCTGCTCTAAACAGAGACACAGAGAGAGAAAACACGGGGGAAACAAAGCAGGACAGTCCATGTCAAGCCTGGAGGCTGCGCTTGGTGATGGTTAAGAGAAGTATGGGGTATACTGCTCGTTAAGTTCCGATAGTGGAAACGCAGCAATAATGACACCGTACCTCAGCAGGCCCAGTCCAAATTGCCGCCGCATCTGCTCAAGGTGGTGATAAAGCCAACAGTACAGGAGTGATAAACTAATGGAGGGGAATTTCACTAACATGGTCTGGATGGTGTCATGTGGCGAGATGGTTCTGGGAGACAAAGAATTTTCAGGTTTGTCTACTTTCTGTTTGCTTTGCTTGTCTCTAATGTGCTGCTTTCTTGAGCTGGATTAGGAAAAACAGCAATACAAGGGAGTCACCACAGTTTACTGAAGGTTTAGTGCAGCAGTCCAACAGCACCAAATCCCACTGTATTACATAATGCACAGGAATGTGGCTCTGATGTTTTTTATTTTATGGTTCCTTCCTGGTGTGCTGCTTATCTCTCTTATACAGTAAGTAGCTGCTGGAAACTCCAGTGTGATTAGACTTAAAAGTTTGAAACTATGACAGCACATCAAAAATGCACAAGGAAAACTGAGTACAGACAAATGAAGCTATTTTGTTTTCTACATATCCCTTGGTGACTATTACTCAAACACTTGTATAATGTGGATAAAACTAACATTAACAAGGATCATTATGTCTTCAGAATAGATCTTGCTGATTTGGATGGACACCATCCAAATATACCATCCTAAATTCTTATTAAAAAGATGGGACATTTCTTTTAGGAAATAACATGGTAGAGAGTCAAATTTGCATTTGTTCTACTACAAGATACACCAGAATAAGGTCAGCATTACAACCACTTATCTGTTACTTTTAGCTAATTATCACAGCGTTGTCCATTTCAACCATTTACATGTTAGTTGGCAAGTAACCCCATAATGGCATGGTGGAGGGTTGCTTCTGGGGAGGTTTGTCAAAGCTTGGGCGAGTATTTCCAAGAGCTCTTTAAAGATGTTTTCAAAGGTATTAAAGTATTTGCTCATGTTTATTTTGGTTCACTGTATTGTGGGTAAATGTGAAGAAAAGACAACAGTCTACAAGTTGACCAACAGACCAGTCTGTTATACTCTATCAGACTGGTCTAACAGTGGCTCAGTGCGTCACTCTGACACCACTTGTCTGCTTTGTCCACAGAGTCTGAAAACCCACACTTGTCGCGATGATGTCCACATTAGCTTTTCCCATCTGCTGAGTGAGCTCAACAAGCCAGAAGCTCCATATGCCCTCACTGTTGCCAACAGGCTGTATGGAGAGAAGTCCTACCAGTTTGTTGGGGTATGTGTGTCATAATTAGATGTGGTTTTGTTGGCAGATTTTTAGGCTGGGGTGAATGAGAGGCTCAGGAGTATTCCAGCTGTGTAGAAAGCAGGCCTGAGTACAAGCAAGTAAAGCAGCGTTTGTGAAAATACTAGTTGTAACATTTCAATGTGTTGTGGATGGTTCCAGGATTTCTTGAACAAAACAAAGAAGCTCTACAAAGCAGAGCTGGAGCCTGTGGACTTCAAAACCAGCTCTGAGGAGGCAAGGCTCAAGATCAACGGCTGGGTAGAGAAGCAGACACAAGGTGCATCATACACAGTAAAATATCCACCCAAGAAAAATTTTGAGATCAGCTGCAATAGGTGGAACATCACATCAGTGTTTCTTAATAACGGTCTTGTGTCAGGCTCATCTTTGTGTGCAGAAACAGATGGATTTTCATACTGACTGAAATGCACAATGAGATGAAAACTTACATGGCCTTCCAATGCCACGAGTTTGAAAGATTTCACTATGGCGGTTTCAGAAGAAGCAGAATAGCTTTGTTAGACCACATTTTTTTGGTATTAAGGCAAAAAGATTGAAAGATTTAATATCGATAGGAATTTCTCAGTAAACAGTACTGGAACTGTAAGACCCTTAAAATGTTTATGTACTGGGGAAACATGGCAGTTGAGCTCATCATTTCTCCAACATTTCTAATGTGTTATTTCAATTCTTAGGTAAAATTAAGGATGTGCTGGCCCAGGGTGTGTTGGACAGCTTGGCTCAGCTTGTGCTGGTTAATGCCTTCTACTTCAAAGGCAACTGGAACAAGAAGTTTCAGGAGAGCGCCACACGTGATGCTGAGTTTAGACTCAACAAGGTAATGCTGCACACTCAATGAAACGACGCTCAGTAGTTGAATACTGATGGACAAAAGTAAACTAAAGTCAGTCAGAAGCTGTGTTCCATGTAGTATATACTGTTTAAGCCACAGATGATATTTCTACCTTTGAAACTAGCCTAATAGTGTGAATGAAAATAATTCAACATAACATGAAACCAGCCCACAGCAAGTGGTAGAAATCTGGGACAGAAGAAGGTGGTCTCAATAAAAAAAACTGCTGAATTTCATGGGCTCCTTTTTTCGGCCCCTTGGTGACTATGCTGAGAGTATTATTTTCACAGTTCCAGCTTTCCTTTAAGTAAAGTAAGTCATTTAATTCATGTTAACAACCAAAATGTTGTTCTAAAGCAGCTTTTGGTGTACTGTGTAGTATGTTAGGGTGTAACATCAACACCAGGTTAAAATGTAGTGTTCAGCATTCCTTCTGCTTGACCGCTGACCCAACTCAGCAGTGTACGCGGTGTACTGACCACACCCTGCCATACACTCCTACATCACTGCAGATTTCAGCTGGTGTTAATTTTCATGTTTTGTTGTTTATAGAATGACACTAAACCTGTGAAGATGATGTACCAGAAGTCAAAGTTCCCTTTAACCTTCATCCCTGAAGTAAACTGCCAGGTAATTAAGAAAGTCAGTTAAACGATCAAATAACACAGATCAGTGGCTATCAACCAACTGTTAATATGATTAGGTACCAAGTGAACCAGTCATTTATTACCTTAAAGGGAGGTGAAGAAGGAAAACTGAGTCATAGAGGAACTGATGACACTTTGTTTATGATGCAGGTTTTTGTTTCTTTACCACAACTATGGAACTAACTCCCTAACAAGAACATTGTTTGTTGCATGTAATCCCATAACCTATTTCATTAATACACAAAAATAACCAAACAGTGATTAGACTAGTACATATATTTGTTGTAATGTCTGGAACCCTCTCTTTGACAGATCCTAGAGATGCCATACCAAGGGAAGGAGCTCAGCATGCTCATCTTTCTCCCCAATGATATAGAGGACAGTTCAACAGGTCTGGAGAAGGTAGGACGCACTTGCACTTGCACATGCACATATAAAGAAACCCACAAGACACAACCAAGCTAATAGTTGAGTTTGTGTCCGACTTCCCAGCTGGAGAAGGAGCTGACCAATGAGAACTTTGTGAAGTGGACTAACCCAGACATGATGAATGAAGTTGAGGTTCAGGTGGGCCTGCCTCGATTCAAGATGGAGGAGAAGTATGACTTGAGAAATGTACTGATCAGCATGGGCATGGTCGATGCCTTCGATGGGAATAGGAGTGACTTCTCAGGTAGGACATATTTCTAGGTCATGCCACATTCTTAAGGGTGGGATCAGGGGAGGTGATTATTTTCTCTATCCCTATCTTTTATAACAGGCATGGCTCCAGAAAACGACCTTGTGCTGTCCAAAGTCTTTCACAAGGCTTTCGTGGAGGTCAATGAGGAGGGCACTGAGGCTGCTGCTGCCACTGCTGCCGTCATGATGCTGCGCTGTGCCATGCTTCCGGCTTCCTTCGTCGCAGACCATCCCTTTATCTTCCTCATCAAAGATAAACGCTCCAATAGTGTCCTCTTTATCGGGCGATACACCTCACCTGTGTGAACACAGCATCATTTACAGCAGTGTTTATTACTAGAAGAATTTTAAGAATCACCACTGGAGAGTTTCCTGTAGCTGATAACTCACTGAATTGCTGACCTATGTTTAATACGGCAGGATGATAATGAGTAAAGCTATAGTGTTGGATTTTCTGATCTGATTTACTCTGTCTATATAGCATTTAGGACTGTTTGCTGCACTCTCACTCTCTACCCTACTTTATCTACTGTATAACATTAGTCAAGTTTATCTTATCTCATTTTAAATGCTCAGTTAACCAAAGAGAATAATGAAATAAAATCATATTTACAGGGAGATATGTCAGTGATTATACTATTATGAATATTGGCCATAAAGAAGAGGAGCTGCTTACATAGAGGTATGAACCAGGTCCTTTTTATGTATGCTTACGCTTTTACATGTAGAATAAAAGTTTTTGATTCACAGATATTGTGTGAGGCATTTGTTTAAAACATTTTATTGGTATCTTCTCAGATCTGGTTCAGCCATGTGTGATAAAATGGATATCGTTCACATTGATCATTAGTTGCACGAGTGTTAATACTACACTGGTTGACTAACATTTCTTATTGTTAATGGTGAAACTAAGTCAACAGTATGAAGGTGCTTTAATCACTTACATGCAAGAACAGTAACTATACTGTCAATGTTCTACCTGTCCCCCCCACCCCCACCAGGGGATTAAATGCAAATGTTTTGTCTGACAAATATAGAATTATTGCATAGTTCCTTTGCTTTGGTAGAAGCACCAGTACAGCAAGGTCAGTCTGGTAGAACTTTTAACAACTTTTGTGTGAGGGCTCACAATCGAGAAAGTTGGGAAACCACCGGTTTAATAAATAATGCATTACATTAGTAATTTGTGTTGTTGTTGTACAAGTGTTTTGTGTGTGTAATGAGATAAATAGTGCAGTCAAAATCACAATACTTCACTCTGAACTGTAGCAGAGCTTAACGTGGCGTTTAATAAAAACAAGTAGGCCTAACTCAAATTCTCAAATTTGTAGTTGAGTACAGTACTTGAGAAATTTGCTTTGCATTAATGGGAAGAAATAGTGCAGGCTAGACTGCTGATGCATGTTTGTGTTGGTTAAATGCAAGTGGAATTTCTAATGTCAGTAAATGAAACAAAATAAATGCTTCATTTGCTTACAAGGCAAAAGAAGATCTTGAAGGTATTTATATCGGATGCAGCAGAAAGTAGGAGTGGGACAATAACTGGGGAAATGTAGTCTGATTACTAGGACTAGACTGGGGCACACTGATAAGTAAACTAAACTGATGCTTACTTCTCATTTGCACCCAGAGGGAAACTAGCTGCCTTCTGAAGCTGGAATAGGTTATCTTTGTCCCAAAATCCATATGAAGTGCTTATTATGGAATAATAAGCTGGAACATAATGGGAAAAAGCTCACAGACCGCTCACACAGTGATACAGTATTTTAAGCATGCTGCAGGGGTGTTGCTAGATATAAAGTTTTACTGGGACACAGGACCCTTATAACTCAAATCACATTTTTTTTCTTGAATGTTTATGGCTTAGCCCACTATTCCACTGCCTGCTGCTACTACAACTACTGGAAAAGATAAAAACATCAACATATTAATTCATCCAGCCATTATCTATATTACTTACTCCTGAATAGGGTTGCAGGGGAGGCTACAGTATATTCAGAGGTGTTCCTAATATTCTGACCCTCTCACTTATGTAACTGGGGAGGAAAAAATATAGAGACACCTCTAAATATAATGTAGTCCTGTACAACACCACCTTTAACTATCACCTCAATAATAAACATATAGTTAAGTTATACATTTCTAGACATTTCACCAAAAATCAAGATATTTTGAGCTTCAAGCCCAGCAAGTGTGAGCAAGCTTAGTGCGTTCTGGACACGGAAGAGCTCATTCACGAATGTCACCTTTTTATTAGTGATGTATTTCTGTGTGTAACAGCAATAGTTTGACAAATAAAAGTAACTTTCTAGATTTTTGAAGAGAGTTTGGTCACTTTCTATCAGCAAAGAGAAACAGATTATGAAGTGGAACAACGTGCTCTGTCCTTGGTGCTGAAGAGAAGAATCCTGAACTATCACAACTTTTCAACACTGAGTTCAGCATCAAACTCTGTCCATCTCCCACCAACAACAAATAGTCTACAGAAATATTCTATAGTTTCACATTTGTACACATTTATGTTACAATTTTTATGAATTCAGGTTTTACAAAATGTGCTAAAGAAATATATGTGACATGGTACAGAACAGTATTTTTTATATTTTGTATTTTTGCCTTTATCAGTGCTCAGGCAAAACAGTCAAACATTTATATTGGGGTTAATAGTGGGATTAAAATTTGTTGTCAGTTTTTTCTTAGGCTATTACAATGTTGTGTAGTCAACACAAGGTTTGTGCATTTCACAAGGTTTCATTACAAATCCTCGCCTCTCCAAAACTACAAAAGCTAGTAAGAAATTATGAATAACCTATTTTAAACATACAGTATAAACTCCCAAAACATCTATTTTGGTCCTTTATCATTAGAACTTCAACAACACTACTCTAAAGCAGTGGGTCCTCTGGAAGGCTTTAGGAAAAAGTGGTACAGATGATAGATGGATGGATGATAGTAATAATAATAATCTCATTTCATTTTTTAAACCACTTAGTCTCAATAATAATAATAAGAATTGTTACTCAAATTCCCTGCACGAATTTAAAAAACAAACCATTATCAGCAAAAACGAGAAGTGGCACCTTAACTCCGCATCTCTGCTTGCTAGCATTCTTTTAGTAGGTCACTAACACTTTCATTGGCCCGTTCTCATTCAGCTTGCTACAGGTAACGTGAACGTGCAGGTTCAGGGACAATCGATGCACTTGTGTAGGGCAAACACATAACTGAAAAGGGATGATTAAATACGACAAGATAAACGTTCTGTCGTTAAATGTGGCTGCTCTTATTAGAATGAGACGTGGAACCACCTCCCCAGAATATACTGTAAAGCCATAGTTCACACAGCGCGTTCAGTCTCACACTGCCACCTGCTGGCAGTACCACTGTTACTGCACCTTATTACAAAGCATGAAAACAACAACAAAGCAACATAATGTGCTGATACACGTTGTGTATGTCGCGTATGCTACTGTCGCCATTAGGGCACAGGATACTTTTTTTGATGATTTTGTTTGTTGATTTTGTATGGTTAACGAGCACTGTGGATGACTTAAGTGAAATCTAAAATAAGTATAAATAAATGTATAAATATGCATAGAAATAAATAGATAAATAATATAAATAAAACAAAAAACTTGAAAAAAAACCAATCAATAATTGTTAAAATCAATAGAAATAAAATAAAAACAACAAATAAATGAATGTTTAAATAAGTACAGAATTAACAGGGTATACTGCTTGTTAGGTTCCGATAGTGGAAACGCAGCATTTATTCACCTATTTATGGACTTGGTTTTTTCTGCCTTTATTGTTCGGCCAGAGTCAGTCCTAGTCAATGCTGGTCGCCAACATATCAAGGGTTAAGAAGTAGAGAGAGCACACCTGTCACACCTAGAAGTAATTTAGAGTCGTCACATATTGTAACATAACCTGCGTGTCCACGCACGCACGGGAGAACATGCACACTCCACACATAAAGGCCCCGTTCGGGTACAACGTTTAAATTCTTATGTGAACTAAGCTCTGAAAAACAAAGCCAGTAAACCGGAGTAAGCTCCGTCGCCAAACTTCCGGCTTCCGTACAGTGACAGGTGGGAATGCGGAAGTTTGTGGCAGATCCATGGGCGTGTCAGCTTGTATAAAGAAACGGAGGTTTCAAAATAGTTGGATTTGAAGGAAGTACTCAGGATCACTTGTAAACCCTAGGAGAGTGTCTGTAGGTGAGTAAAATGTGCGTTTTAATCACTTTGCGACAGAAGGATTTGATTATATAGTTTGCAGACAGTTTGTGTAGGTTAACCGCAATAACAATAAAGGCTGTACGTATTATTTTCTAATCGACAGATTTAAACGGGACAGAGTTTACAGGTCCTAGTTGAACCTGGTCGACTTATGCATAGAATAAAACGTTAGTAGCATAAATCAAAATCATATTATATTTGAAAGAGTTGTTTAATACTCAGTCTTTTGCTCAGCGAAAGAAACAATGACTTTAAGGTTGTTTGTGTCATAAGCAACATACTCCCTCTCTGACTGGTGGCACATCATTTGTCGGTGCTTTAATTAAAGTCTTATACACCAGTGGCTGTTTGGTCATACACCTCGCGTATGAGGTCTATAAATACTAGTACAAACATAATGGAAATTAAATGAAACTTGGTGAGACCCAAGTGTATGTAATGAGGTCGAGTGAGTACAGCATCAAAGTATATTAAATCCATATTTTGGTGCACAGAAACACTGTTGGGGCTGCAAAATGTTACAAAAACACACCTGTGAGTCATTTCTGCAGTGAATGACAATGAGGCCAACAGTTGCTGCATTTATTGTTAGTTCAGTAAAATAAGTTTTTGTTTAATTATCTTTACAGGAATTTTTAGTTGTTTAGGTACAGACACTGATTACAACAAAATGTCTCAAAGTAGTTTGTCGTCTAACAAAGAGATACAATCTTGTATGCATAAACAGATGGCAGCGTCCCAGGCGATGCACTGCAGAAGTGCTGCAGCTTGTCTGCAACCTGTTTAGTGGTGTCTGTATAAGGAGACAAATGAGCATATGTCATATAATATTCATGTGGAGCTGAGAAGCCTTTATTGTGTTTAGCTGGTAACACAACTCACTGTTTTAAAGCTTTAAATACAATAAATGACACCAATGGAAGTCGAATTAATGTATAATGTCTATATTGTTGAACTTTGAATTTGTATTTGTTGTCTTGTGAAGTTTTTCCTCTCTCGCCACAACTGTGCACAGTGGCCCCATGGACCACAAGGTGTTCCCAAAAACAAATGAGCTTCTTCATCTCTGCTGCTGCTGCTCTACCCACAAAACTATGCAAACCATGTGGAGAAAGCAACAAAACGATCTCAGCTCGAGGTTTCTTGCTCATTTGACGTGGGGTGCTTCTCATTTCTTAACACAATGCACACAGATGGACGGTGGATTCTCACCGTTCTCATTATGTTTTGCACTCCTTTATTTCAGTCTTCCCAAGACTCTAGGTAAGTTACACCAGAGGTGGGCATACTACCTTCTGTAAAATTTGAAACACCAGTGTCCAAACAGTCCCAAAAACCTTTAGGATAACTGTGGCAAACTGTGGATTTTCTCAAACTTGTACCCCTTTACTTCAGTCTTCCTAAGACTAACCTCCGAGTAATTTACACCAGAGGTGAACGTAGTTTCTTCCAGAAGATTTGAAACATTCAGTGTCTATACAGTCAACTAAACAGCGAAATGAAGTCACTGGGTAATGGATGACAAATAAAAGTAAAAATGAAAGTAGATAAAGTGCAATGTTGGTTTAGTTTAGTTTTGAAAGTGGCTACAGTTGGGGCAGATCTAAGTTCTAATGGGAGCTGGTTCCAGCTGTGGGCAGCATCATGGCTAAAAGCACTTTAACCTTATTTGGTTTGAACTCTGGGCACCACTAGCTGAACAGTCCCTGCTTATCTGAGACACCAACCAGTAATAGTAAGTGTGAGGACAATAAAGATCTAGGTACAGTAAATGTATTCTTTTATAAATATAATATTTTTTACACTATGAAGAGGAAGAAAAACCCCTTGCGCAGTGGTAGTCTGTATACCAGAATAAACAGTAAACTACACAAAGATATTAAGTAGAGGTAGTTGGACTGAAGGTGGAAGTTGACATGGTGTAAAACGAGAGCATGTACTGTCATTTCTGTAAATAATTGCTAAAGCGGTTACACCCAGGCAAGTCATGCCTGTGAGTGTGGGAGAGGCAGAGTTTGGATTAGGAAACAATCCAGTCATTTGAAAGTATCCATCTATTTGACATTGATTACATAGCATAATTTTGAAAGCAGTTGCTCAAAGGTCAAGATGACAGTCAAGTCAGTAGGTTATTTGCAGCACATGCCAACTGATTTCCAGTGTCATGGTTTCTGTTAATACTAGGAGATAACAGTATTTTGTGAATTTGTCCTTTTTATGCCCCTCAGTCTTCTGATGCATTAGCAACAGGATTAACACCTACCTGTTTGACAGGGTCTAGAACAACCTAGGAGCTATGACACAGTGTCATGCACTCCCTTCTGTGAAGGAGTTCATTGTTCAAAACAAGGAGCTATGACACAGCCCATTTTGAGTTAATTGTGTCTAAAGGGTAGCGCGGTGGCGCAGTGGTTAGCACCGTTGCCTCACAGCGAGAAGGTTCCGGGTTCGGGCCCCACCTGGGAGTTTGCATGTTCTCCCTGTGCTTGCGTGGGTTCTCTCCGGGTACTCCGGCTTCCTCCCACAGTCCAAAGACATGCAGCTTAGGTTGATTGGTTTCTCTAAATTGCCCATGTGGTTGTTCATCTGTGTGGTTGTTTGTCCATGTGTTAGCCCTGCGATGGATTGGCGACCTGTCCAGGGTGTACCCCGCCTTCGCCCGATTGCCGGCCGGGATTGGTCATCAGACTTTAAAATCCTTGTGTTCCAATAAAATACTACTATCATCATCTCCACGTGTCTTTGAGCTGGAGAGAGGTTTATGTCACAAATAGATAACCAAAGAATATGATTTTACTCACTTTGATAAGGTGCTTGACTTTTTTTTTACCATCTTCCCAGGCTGAGTATAAGGCCAGCAGAATATGAGTCAGCCCATATATCAAAGCTAGGATGACAACTATAACTTCCTGCACTGAATAGTGTACACTACCAATTGCGCCCCTAGGTCCTCTGCTTCACTAAGGCAGAGAAGTCACGAGATGCAAGAGTGCAGCAGAAGCATGTGCCTCAGCAGATCCAGCAGCAGGCCCAGTCCAAACTGCCGCCGCATCTGCTCAAGGTGGTGATAAAGCCAACAGTACAGGAGTGATAAACTAATGGAGGGTAATTTTACTAACATGGTCTGGGTGGTGTCATGTGGCGAGGTGGTTCTGGGAGACAAAGAATTTTCAGGCTTTTCTACTTTCTGTTTGCTTTGCTTGTCTCTAATGTGCTGCTTTCTTGAGCTGGATTAGGAAAAACAGCAATACAAGGGAGTCACCACAGTTTACTGAAGGTTTAGTGCAGCAGTCCAACAGCACCAAATCCCACTGTATTACATAATGCACAGGAATGTGGCTCTGATGTTTTTTATTTTATGGTTCCTTCCTGGTGTGCTGCTTATCTCTCTTATACAGTAAGTAGCTGCTGGAAACTCCAGTGTGATTAGACTTAAAAGTTTGAAACTATGACAGCACATCAAAAATGCACAAGGAAAACTGAGTACAGACAAATGAAGCTATTTTGTTTTCTACATATCCCTTGGTGACTATTACTCAAACACTTGTATAATGTGGATAAAACTAACATTAACAAGGATCATTATGTCTTCAGAATAGATCTTGCTGATTTGGATGGACACCATCCAAATATACCATCCTAAATTCTTATTAAAAAGATGGGACATTTCTTTTAGGAAATAACATGGTAGAGAGTCAAATTTGCATTTGTTCTACTACAAGATACACCAGAATAAGGTCAGCATTACAACCACTTATCTGTTACTTTTAGCTAATTATCACAGCGTTGTCCATTTCAACCATTTACATGTTAGTTGGCAAGTAACCCCATAATGGCATGGTGGAGGGTTGCTTCTGGGGAGGTTTGTCAAAGCTTGGGCGAGTATTTCCAAGAGCTCTTTAAAGATGTTTTCAAAGGTATTAAAGTATTTGCTCATGTTTATTTTGGTTCACTGTATTGTGGGTAAATGTGAAGAAAAGACAACAGTCTACAAGTTGACCAACAGACCAGTCTGTTATACTCTATCAGACTGGTCTAACAGTGGCTCAGTGCGTCACTCTGACACCACTTGTCTGCTTTGTCCACAGAGTCTGAAAACCCACACTTGTCGCGATGATGTCCACATTAGCTTTTCCCATCTGCTGAGTGAGCTCAACAAGCCAGAAGCTCCATATGCCCTCACTGTTGCCAACAGGCTGTATGGAGAGAAGTCCTACCAGTTTGTTGGGGTATGTGTGTCATAATTAGATGTGGTTTTGTTGGCAGATTTTTAGGCTGGGGTGAATGAGAGGCTCAGGAGTATTCCAGCTGTGTAGAAAGCAGGCCTGAGTACAAGCAAGTAAAGCAGCGTTTGTGAAAATACTAGTTGTAACATTTCAATGTGTTGTGGATGGTTCCAGGATTTCTTGAACAAAACAAAGAAGCTCTACAAAGCAGAGCTGGAGCCTGTGGACTTCAAAACCAGCTCTGAGGAGGCAAGGCTCAAGATCAACGGCTGGGTAGAGAAGCAGACACAAGGTGCATCATACACAGTAAAATATCCACCCAAGAAAAATTTTGAGATCAGCTGCAATAGGTGGAACATCACATCAGTGTTTCTTAATAACGGTCTTGTGTCAGGCTCATCTTTGTGTGCAGAAACAGATGGATTTTCATACTGACTGAAATGCACAATGAGATGAAAACTTACATGGCCTTCCAATGCCACGAGTTTGAAAGATTTCACTATGGCGGTTTCAGAAGAAGCAGAATAGCTTTGTTAGACCACATTTTTTTGGTATTAAGGCAAAAAGATTGAAAGATTTAATATCGATAGGAATTTCTCAGTAAACAGTACTGGAACTGTAAGACCCTTAAAATGTTTATGTACTGGGGAAACATGGCAGTTGAGCTCATCATTTCTCCAACATTTCTAATGTGTTATTTCAATTCTTAGGTAAAATTAAGGATGTGCTGGCCCAGGGTGTGTTGGACAGCTTGGCTCAGCTTGTGCTGGTTAATGCCTTCTACTTCAAAGGCAACTGGAACAAGAAGTTTCAGGAGAGCGCCACACGTGATGCTGAGTTTAGACTCAACAAGGTAATGCTGCACACTCAATGAAACGACGCTCAGTAGTTGAATACTGATGGACAAAAGTAAACTAAAGTCAGTCAGAAGCTGTGTTCCATGTAGTATATACTGTTTAAGCCACAGATGATATTTCTACCTTTGAAACTAGCCTAATAGTGTGAATGAAAATAATTCAACATAACATGAAACCAGCCCACAGCAAGTGGTAGAAATCTGGGACAGAAGAAGGTGGTCTCAATAAAAAAAACTGCTGAATTTCATGGGCTCCTTTTTTCGGCCCCTTGGTGACTATGCTGAGAGTATTATTTTCACAGTTCCAGCTTTCCTTTAAGTAAAGTAAGTCATTTAATTCATGTTAACAACCAAAATGTTGTTCTAAAGCAGCTTTTGGTGTACTGTGTAGTATGTTAGGGTGTAACATCAACACCAGGTTAAAATGTAGTGTTCAGCATTCCTTCTGCTTG